CGGCTGCCAGGCTGGGAGCGGCCAGGCCCGGGGGAGCAGGCGGGGCTGGTGCGGCCAGGCCCGGAGCAGCGGCTGCCAGGCTGGGAGCGGCCAGGCCCGGGGGAGCAGGCGGGTCGGGTGCGGCCAGGCCCGGAGCAGCGGCTGCCAGGCTGGGAGCGGCCAGGCCCGGGGGAGCAGGCGGGTCGGGTGCGGCCAGGCCCGGAGCAGCGGCTGCCAGGCTGGGAGCGGCCAGGCCCGGGGGAGCAGGCGGGTCGGGTGCGGCCAGGCCCGGAGCAGCGGCTGCCAGGCTGGGAGCGGCCAGGCCCGGGGGAGCAGGCGGGTCGGGTGCGGCCAGGCCCGGAGCAGCGGCTGCCAGGCTGGGAGCGGCCAGGCCCGGGGGAGCAGCCGGGTCGGGTGCGGCCAGGCCCGGAGCAGCGGCGGCCAAGTCCTGAGCAACTAGGTTGGGAGCGGCAGTGACCAGACCCGGAGCAGCTGGTTGTGGAATGAACCAGAGCAACAGAGGCCAGGCCCTGAGCAGCCAGGCCCAGAACAGCTCGCTCCTTGCCTGCCCCTGCCCCACGGCTGCTTCTCAGACATGGCTGGAAACTTTCGTGGGAACTTGAGTGTCTGCTGAATCAAGTGATGAAGGCTTAGATCTGGATGTGTTGAGTTAGTTTAGGACTGGGGTGTTGATCTGTGAGTGCCTTGGGTGGGGCCTCGATGAGGCTGGTTGACCTAGTGGGAAATGTCTTTTGTGTGAAGTGTATCATTGGGCATGTGGAGGTATTATTGATATGAGAAAATGCTAAGTAACTGATTTACTATCTGAAAAGGGATTTACTATTGGGGAAATTGAGGGAAGAAGAGACTGAACATAAACTGCACCTATGGATGAGGACAATGGGGGATGGGGGGGGGGACGGAGGGTGGGGTGGGAACCTGGTGGAGGGGGGAAGAAATGAGGAACCTTTGTAATAATATGAACAATAAAGATTGCTAAAAAAAAAAAAAAAAAAAAAAATAAAAATAAAAATGTTTGAATACAGTCAGACTTTCTTTAAAAGCCATTTCCCACCTACAGTTTTATTGAGGTATAACTGACAATTAAAAATTGTATCTATTTAAGTTGTACAACCACATACTCACTGTACAGATACATTGTGAAATATTCACAACCAACCCAGTCAGCATATCCGTCATTTAACATCTTAACCATTTTCCTTTTTTATGTTGAGGTCACTCAAAATTTACTCCCTTAGCAAATTTCAAATACACACTGTTGTTACTATAGTCACATTGCTGTAAACTACTCGTAGGTCTGTAGAACTTATTCATCTTGCACAACTGAAAGTATTTTAGCCAAGGCACATGGGTAATTATCATAGAATAATAAAGTAAATCTGTAAACATCGTGAACTTGTATCCTCTGATCTTTTATTTAGGGTTGAAGAGAAGCTGCTGAGGACACAAAATAACTAGGGACTTATGAGTAGGAGTCCAAGATTTTGTTCTTTCAGCCTAATTTTTTTTTAATTGTTTAAAGTATTACATTTGTCTCCTTTTCTTCTAATTGACACCCCTTCCCCCCTTCCATTCCTGTTTTCCAGGACAAACTCCCAAGGCCCCAGTGTTCGAGTCCATTGGTTATACTAATATGCATGCATACAAGTCCTTTGGTTGATATTTTACCCCCTCCCCCACCTTCTCTCTGAGGTTGGACAGTCTGATCAGTGTTTCTTAGTCTCTGGATCTATTTTTAGTCATTAGTTTATGTTGTTCTTTATATCCCACATATGAGTGATATCATGTGATATTTATCTTTCTTCGACTGGCTTATTTCACTTAGCATAATGTTCCCCCCATGCTGTTGCGAATGGTAAAAGTTCCTTCTTTTATTATAGCAGCATAGTACTACATTGTGTAGATATACCAGTTTTTTTAAAAATATATATTTTATTGATTTTTTTACAGAGAGAAAGGGAGAGAGATAGAGAGTTAGAAACATCGATGAGAATCATAGATCTGGGGATGTGCCCGCAACCAAGGTACATGCCCTTAACTGGAATCGAACCCGGGACCCTTCAGCCCGCAGGCCGACACTCTATCCATTGAGCCAAACCGGTTTCGGCATATACCATTTTTTTAATTCACTCATCTGCTGATGGGCACTTGGGCTGTTTCCAAATCTTAGCTTTTGTAAATTGTGCTGCTATGAACATAGGGGTGCATATATCCTTTCTGATTGGTGTTTCTGGTTTCTTGGGATATATTCCCATAAGTGGGATTACTGGGTTATGAGAGTTCCATTTAAAAAAATTTTGAGGAATCTCCAAACTGTTTCCCACAGTGGCTGCACTAGTCTGCATTCCCACTAGCAGTGCTTGAGGATTCCTTTTTCTTTACATTCTCACCAGCACGTGTCGTTTGTTGATTTGTTGACAGTCCAATTTCAACCAGTGAATTCTGGGCACTTTTCAGGCACATTGACTGAGAAATGCTCCCTGTCCAAATTCAAATAACAGACTTGGAGATAGAATTATGGAGAAAATGAGACTTTTAATACGTTCTAGAGAGCGGATGTCCACCTGGTTGTACTGGCATAAATGGAGTAGCAATCACAGCTTCTTTATCCAGTCCCTCCTCCAGTTCCTCATTGGCTGAGTACATGGGGTCACCTGTTTCCTCACACATCTCCAGGGCTAGGTCTTATTGTCTCACATTGGGCCACTCAAAAAGATTGGGCTTTTTCTAGTTATCTCCACCGCTCCGCCTAGTTGAGACAGGTGCTTCAAGGGTTTTCACTATGATGTTGGCTCTTGTCCACATTGCTTTGTTCTTATATCCTCCTCCCTCCTCCCTCCATTCTGTGTGTCCTGGGGAAATTCAGTAACCGGTTCCATTGAAAGTTGACTATGTGGGAGGCCTATTTCCTACAAAGACTATTTCACCATTTACTGACTCTAAGACCTTGGACAAGTTAAAAAAAATACTCACACACACCCTATCTAATAGGGAGAATATGCAAATTGACCATCAGGCCATCACAAAGATGGCGGCACTGGTAGCCACAAGATGGCCATGTTCATTCCCTTCAGACCTGCCAGAGTCCCCCACCTGGGCCAAGGGTGTGGCAGGAATATGGACCTGTTCTCAGATACCCAGGGCTGGCCCGAGGCACAGGCATGCCTCGGATGGCAGCAGCCCAGCCACCCAGGCCTGGCTGAGGCTTGTGCTGCCAGCCGTGGCAGCAGCAGAGGTGTGATGGGGGTGGCACCTTCCTCTGATTCTTAGGTCAGCTCCCACCCTTGAGGGCTCCTGTGAAAGGGGGCAGGCCGGGCTGGGGAACACCCCCCTCCAGTGCATGAATTTTCATGCACTGGGCCTCTAGTTTATATATATTTATTAATTTCAGAGAGGAAGGGAGAGGAAGAGAGAGATAGCAACATCAATGATGAGAAACATTGATCAGCTGCCTCCTGCACATCTCACACTGGAGGTACTGGAGATGAGTTTGAAACTTAGGCAGGTGTCCTTGCCTGGAATTCAAATCAAGGCCCTTCAGTCTGTAAGTCAGTGCTGTATCCGCTGAGCCAAACTGGCCAGGACAGACCTTGGACAAGTTTTGTCCCTGAACCTCATCTTTTTTATCTGTAAAGTAGAGATAATACATTCTTTTGATTCAGGCATTATCACAGTTAAAAGTGAAGTAAGGCTCTAGCTGGTTTGGCTTAGAGTGTCAGGCTGCAGACTGGAGTCCTGGGTTTAATTCAGGTAACAATAGCAATGAGGGATTTGTGGTCTCTGCCCAGGAGCATTGATTGTGCCCTGAGAGGGTCAGGGATGGGGGAGAGGGGAGGAAGGGGGGAGTTATCTTGACATTCCAAAGGTGTGTTATTGTAGATGCAAAAAGACAATAGGCTCAGCTAAGGTCAAAGTTGATCTTTGTCAGGGAAGACACTGACCTAGGACATGACTACCCACCATACACGGCTTTTTAATGAAAAGAATTTTAATTTCAGACCATTCTTTGCGATTCCTTTAGGTCTCTGAGGTTGCAAGCCCACCGCATAGACCTTCCCTGAGCTTGTCAGGTTAGCATGTGACCCTATTTTCATTCTCAATGCACTCTCCTCCCCCCCCCCCCCCCCCCCCAATATTCCTTTCCCAACCTAAGAGGGCAGCAAAAAGCTCACAGAGGTCCTCACCTCAGCATAATGCAACACATGAGATGGCGACAGCGTGCTTTCCATCTTCCAAATTCGGAGTTCTTCTAATGTTGTTACCTTTGTCTAGGGGCTGCGGCTCTACAAAGCTAACCTGTTGTCCAGGTCAAACATTCGCTCCCAGGTTGAGGACCTCCCACAGTAACCTGGTTTGATCCCAAAGAGGGCGGCGGGGTTAGGAGGCGGCGGCGCAGGGCCCTCTGGCAGCTTTCCGCAGGTCTCCCCACACCGCAGCCCAGGGGGCGTTTCTGAGCCGCGGGGCGGGCGGAGCCGGTGCCTTAGGTCGGAGCACGAACTCCGTGAAGTTTGCGGCCAGGTGTGAGCACGAGGGCCTCTGGGCCCGGACACAGGGCCCGTGGCCCCCCCTACTATCCTCATCCAACAGCGCCCCAGCCCCAGCGCGTGGACTCCGGCAGCGTCGGTCGGGCCTCCTGCTCCCCTGTGGAGCCCGGCTCCCCGCGGCTCCAACTCCAGCTCCAGGCGGGGGCGTCGGCGCCTGCAGCACCGGCAGCACCGGCAGCACCACCAGCAGCAGCAGCAGCAGCACCACCACCACCACCACCAGCAGCAGCACCGGCAGCAGCAGCAGGATCAGCGGCGGCGCCGGAGGCGGGGACGGGGCGGTCCGCTGGACTCTCCTCCCGGAAGCGGGCGCTTGTGCGCCTCCAGCCGAGCGGACCGGCAGGCGCGGCGGCCAGAGCTCCAGCATCCCCGCCGCCGGCGCGCCCGGGAGCCGCGGGGACCCAGCGCCGCCGCCGGAGCAGCGCCAGCCCGGCCCGCGGCCGCGCGGCCGGCAGCATGTTGCCGGTGTACACGGAGGTGAAGCCCAACCCGCTGCAGAACGCCAACCTCTGCTCGCGCGTGTTCTTCTGGTGAGCGCTCCTGCCCCCGCCCGCGCCTGTCACCCCGCCGCCGCCGCGTGGCCCGGCCCGGGGGTGGGGACCCGGGCTGCACACCCGGGCTGCAGCGGGGAGCGCGCTCCGCCGGCCGCGTGCTTCCCGCCGGCACCCCGGCGAGCAGGCCCCGGAGGGGGCCCCGGAGGGATGTCGGGGCCGCCCGGTCGCCCTGCCGCGCCGATCGCCTGGCGGGAGAAGGAGGAGGAAGAAGAGGAGGAGGTTGCTTCGCGGGAGGACGGACAAGATCTCCCCAATCTCCCCGATCTCCCCAACCCCCCCCCCCCCCCCAACCCGCCAGCCTTAGCCGGCTTCCCCCGCGGAGGCTCGGCGTTTTGCACTTTTGAACCAAAGCGACACTCTTTTCTTTCTTTGTAAGCAAGCAGCTTAGGAACAGCCTGCTTGATCTCACTGCAGCCAAAGCCACCTTAGTGCCCTGGACCATTGCCATCTCCCCGTAGTGACCCCACCTCTTCCGATATGCCCAGTTCCAACGCCACCGGCTCCCTCCGTGCCTGGCTCTCCCCCTCTCCCCTCATGTGTGTTTCACCCGGCGTGGCCTGGTACTTAGTTGTGGCACATGTCGTGTGGGGTCAACAACGCTTTATTATTTATTTATCTAAAGAACGGAGACGCTTGGACACGGCTTTTCTTTTGCCTGAGACACACCATAGCCATGTGACTGGAGTACATAGTCTCCTTGACCGGCCCCTTTCCAATTGCAAATACATCCACCCCCACCTTTGAGGTTTCCAACGGGGATAAGGTTTTACCGGGATCTCTAGCCTCTAGGGAAGCAATTCAGGGTCTAGATGCAGGTCGTTGGCTCTTCCCGGGAGTCCTAGGGTCCTAAAACCACTGGAAGGTGCTTGAGCTGGGTGGACACACACAGGTGCAAGTCTGCCCACAGAGGTGAAGCTCTGAAGTTTTACCTCGAGGAGCTGGCACCGGGAACTAGGTGGGCCTGAATCCTTGGACTTGGATCACACTTGGTTGATAGTTAGAGCTTTTATTTCTCGGCCCTAACCCCCTCCTTTCGTCTTTCCCACACATCCTAAGAGATTCCAAGGGAATCTCCTCCTGCACTGGCGTTGATTGAGGTGTCGTCAGCTTGTATGGAACAGACCTCGGCGGTTTGGTGCCCTTCCCTAAATGAAAGGGGAAGAAGGATATGTCTGCTTATTATAAATGGTAACGAAGGAAGCACGCATCTTAACTTCAGGCAGGGCAAGGCACTCTGGAAGCACTTCCTATTTGTGGATTTTGGAAAATGTTTGTACATGGAAATGGGAAGGTGAGGACTTCTCTTGAATGACTTGGAGTAGGCATTCATTTCTGGTTTTCCTGCTGGAGAGGAAGGGAAGGGGCAGTTACTATCTGTTTTCCCCCTGAAGGCACTGAACCGGAGAGGCTGAGGGAGTTGCCCGGGATCACACAGCTAAGTAAGTGGTGGAGCAGCATCCCGAACCGGGCAGCCTGGTGTCCTGGCCTGTTCCAAACCGCTGTGCCGAGCTGCTTCTGTTGGGACCCGTGTGCTTAAATCCGTGGAGAAGGCATTCTAAACGCACTGTGGTTCTTACGGACTGGAGTTGTGAGGTGGTTGGGCCTCAGGAAACAGATCCATTACCTTTAGGGCAACTGTTCACCGAGTATGGCATCTACATCTGCCTCATCCACATCGCCAGGAAGCTTTGTTAGAAATGCAAGTTCTCATTAAAAAAAAAAAAATGCTGAAACCCTGCGGACTGAAGGGTCCCGGGTTCAATTCCGGTCAAGGGCCTTTACCTTGTTTGCGGGCACATCCCCAGTAGGGGGTGTGCAAGAGGCATCTGATCGATGATTCTTTCTCATCAGTGTTTCTAACTCTGTAAAAAAAACCTCAATAAAATATATTAAAAAGAAAAAAAGAAATGCAAGTTCTCCAGCACCCATTCCATAGCAATTCTGTAAAGTTGGAAACTCGGTGGGGGGTTTAAACTAGCACCCCAGGTAATTCTCATGGAAAGTTAAGACTGACTCTCCTTTTTAAGCCACTCCTCCATTGTCATTCCGGTATTATAGTTTAAAAAAAGGCAAGTGTTTGTGAAGTCAATGGTTGATCACACTTGCTGACCTGTATTTATTGACCTTCTGCAGTTTGAGGCATTTTAAAAGTCTGGGGCACCTTAGTGATTTTCTTGTGTACGCTTCTGGCTGCAGGCGGGAAAGCTGTAATGAACCCAGCCAGGAGGTAGTGCGGCCTGGAGACAAGGCCCATCTTGATAGCTACTTAACGATACCAATAGCTAGCTCCCTGACTTTTATGCGATGACCTTTCCAGGGTTTTGGTGTTTTCACACCACATTTGGATTTGGGGTCTAAGAGGAATTGTACATTATTGGCTATTGGTAATTGTTGTGGATTTTTAAAGAGAATGTATGTTTTTCTGTTTCTGCAAGAAATTCCAAAAAGCCTACTAGAAGGTAACCTAAAACAAACAAACTAAAAGAAATTCCAAACTATAGAAAAAAGAAGGAAAAGGATGATTTAGTTCTATCAGCCAACTTACGTACAGGTGCTGATGTTTTGGCGGTCTCTTAAGCCTTCTCTTTAAACCTCTTTAAGCACACCTGAGGGTGCAGACATCTTTTCTACAAAACTGGTTTTGACCCTGATCCCTTAATTCCTATGGTTAACATTTCTTTATGGCATCAATCTTCAAAATAGGCTATTTCATGGTTATAGTTTATGCAGTCTTTCCCTTCTGTTGAACACAGTTTGTTTCTGTGTACGATGATGTAATTAATGTACATCCACGTTAATATTTTTCTTGTATCTTTTCTTCTTTCTCTTTTTTTATATTTTTCTTTTTTTAAATATATTTTTTTTATTAAATTATTATTTTTGTACATATACCAATGCCCCCCTTCCCCCCCCCCCCGTACATACCCCTTTTTTTCTCTATTTTTAAAAGTAGAGCAACTGGTGGAAAGCCAAGTTGTTTTCTAACAGGATTTGACCAATTTGCCCTCTTAATAGTGGTTTATGTGCTTTAAATCACTCATTGTCAACTTTGAGTACACAAATTATTTTTCTAAGTAGAAAGGTTAATGGGGGGCGGGGGAGGAGGTAAGGGCAGAGGGTGGAGTGGGGACCAGGTGGAGGGGAGCAATGGGGGGAGGGAGAAGGAGAAACAATTGTAATAATCTGAACAATAAAGAATTATTTAAAAAAAAAAGGTTAAAAACACTACCTTTAATGTGAATTTATTTGTAACAGGGCTTATAATATTTTTTCAGATATTCATTTGTCTCTTAATTTAGTTCAGCTATCTTAAAACTTATGTTTTGTTCATTAAACTGAGCTTTTGTAATGTTCTTCTTAAAAATCTCAGAACTATCTAAATCTTCATGAGCACTTTAGCTTTCTTGTGTCATTTCTAACAATAAAGGCACCTGGAACTTCTTTTACTGTTTGATATGAGATAGCTCCCCCTACCCCCCAAACAGCTCATTTTCCCATCATGATTTATTGAATAATTCTTCCTCTTCTCCAATATTGGAAATAAGTGGCAAAGCTTGTGGATTGAGTCCAGCTGGGCACTAGAGCGCCCATTCCCCTGAGACTCCCTGGTGCTAGCCCTCTCCCCTACTGGGCAACCTATGCATGAGTGTGTGTGTGTGTGTGTGTGTGTGTGTGTGTGTGTGCTCTGTATTTTTCTGTCCACCCTTATTCCAGAGGTCAGCAGGTTGGGGAGTAGCAATGCAGGACCTGTTCCCAGAAATGGGGGTCTAGGAGGGCTTGGGCCAGACGCCTCAGGCAAACCAGAGTGGTTAAATGCTCCCTCCCCGAAGCTGGCTCAGGAAAGCCAATGCTGCTGTGGAGACTCTGCCCCTGGTGTCAGGACACACTCTCCGGAGACTCTTCCCCAGAGAACGCTGATGACAGGAGAGAGAAATGCAAATGGTCGCGTGCTAGGGTGGCGTAGAGAGGCTGGCTGTAGTCAGCCCTCTCTACAGTGGTTGTGAATGCATAGAAATATTTAATTTTAAACTAGGATTTTTTGCACCATTTTCAGAATACCTTGCTCTTTCTTAACAGTTGGAAACCCAAAGGTAGGTGGAGGCTGGAGGAGCTTTTCAGGGCTCTTTCTCCGGCCTTAGCCTAACTGTTCCTCTTTCTTAAGGTTTAATTTGATGAGTTTTGACAAACAAGAGGCAGAACATCCCAAAGGTGTGTTGAAATTGACTACTAAGTCCCTACTAAATCCCTGCAGTTATAAGTATCTCCTATGGGTTATTTTTTTTTAAATTAAATATGTTTTTATTGATTTCAGAGAGGAAGGGAGAGGGAGATAAAAGAGAGGAACATCAGTGATGAGAGAGAATCATTGATCAGCTGCTTCCTGCATAACCCTACTGGGTTTGAGCCTGCAAGTGCCCTGACTGGGAATCAAACTGTGACCTTCTCCCGATTCATAGGTTGATGGACTGATGCTCTATCCACTGGCCAAACCAGCTAAGGCTTGTGGTTTATTCTTGATTTTTTTTTTTTTGTATGTGTGTCTTTATATTCCTGCATCTGGGCTGTCTGGGAGGTGTGAACTAGTGTCCATTCAGTTGTGTCAAGTAGATAATTTGCCTTTCTGACCCCTGCCAGGGACTCCTCTTTCTCCTGTGTAGCTCCTAGAGCAATATTGGGCGGACTGTGGCTTGTGAGCCACATGCGGCTCTTTGGCCCCTTGAGTGTGGCTCTTTCACAAAATATGATGTGCGGGCATGCACATACTGTGCGATCGAAACTTCGTGGCCCATGTGCAGAAGTCGGTGTTTGGCTCTCAAAAGAAATTTCAATCGATGTACTGTTGATATTTGACTCTGTTGGATAATGAGTTTGCCACCACTGGACTAGGGGACACCTGCTCTTTGGGGTGTGGAGCAAGGGCCTCCTTGTACAGCGTGAGCCTTCATCCCCAGTCACACCTGCCACTTTCCAGTGGG